AAAACTTTGGCAACAATTAGTTATGGGGGAACATGATCGAAATGTTCGCGCAATTGTCAAATATTTGATCGACGTTGGATTGGAAAAAAGAAATCCTATATTTGTCTTACATGCAAAAAGAGTGTTCATTTATTTGGGACGTACTGCCTCAAGTTCGGCTGTGATTAAAACTTTGATCAACGAGATAACACCAAAATCGATGACCCCTCAACCTAAGGAACCAAAAGAGAATATCGACGTTGAAGAGTTAAAGATAGGCGGCATGTATCTTTCTAAGATCGAAGATGCGATGCCTCAACATCATAAACGTCCCGTTTTTTCATCAGGACAATTAGCAATGTTGTACATGGTTGACATGGCGATTGAGACCAAACCTGATTTCGAATTGCACCTTCCAAGATTACTTCACGTTTTATTCGTACAGTTGGATGCAGTTAATCCACTCATCAGTGAAGAAACTCGATCGTTATTAATAAATCTAATACACTCTGTTATACTTAGTAAGTGCGTCTACCCTGATGTAGTTAAGGTTGCGCGCGCTTTGATAGCCGAATTAAAAGCAAAGGAAGGTTCACGATTATGGGAATACGAGGACATGACTTATCATAATCGAACGATAAACAGCCTTGCCGATTTGGAAAAATTGTCTAAGGACGTTGTTAACATTTTCGGTATTGTCGTTTATGGTGAAAGTAACAAAGAAGATCTTAGACAAATGTGGGGTGAAATGGCATTAAAGTGGGCAACCTCTTGTCCAGTTCGTCACATCGCTTGTCGTTCGTTTCAAATTTTTCGTTCTTTGAATCCAGTATTTAATGAACATATGCTCGCGGATGTTCTTGCACGTTTATCCAACACCATCTCGGATAATTCGGAAGATTTCCAAGGGTTCGCATTGGAAATTTTGATCACTTTAAGCCATGTCGTTGATTGGCTTGAGCCTGGTACCAAGGAAATTTTTCCACAATTATTATGGGCTACTATCGCATGCCTTCAAACTATTAATGAGCCCGAATTTTTAGAAGCGTTATCCATATTGGATAAAATCTTGGATAAATTTGATCTATCAGATGAAGAAAATCAAGATTTGTTTTGGAGTTTTTTTCCAAAACATAAATGGCATGGTCAATTTTATGGAATACAACCCCTATTGATGAAGGGAATCTGTTCTGCCACGGCGTGTCATCGAACATTTGAAATGTTAAAGAAGTTATTATTCATAAGAGATGATCAATTGATTGATCCAGGTCATGGAAGACTTTTATATCTCATTCTCGCCAACCTTCCAAGACTTGTTCATTCTTTGGAAGATGTATCAATTCGAGAAGAGTGTAAGCAATGGGCAACTTACTTGTCAGATTTTGCAGAGCATCAAGAGCTTCATAACCTTAATAGAGTGTTAACGTCCTTTGTTAAAGGAAAATTTCGTTCTAAAGATGATTTTTTGAAGCAAATTATACTTTGCATAAAAGATAACTACTTCCCCGATTATGAAGTGCAAACATTATTGTTCCTCATGAGTCTCTTATCTAATAAGCTACCTTATTATAAATTAAAGACCATGATAATTCTTAAGATGTTATTACCCCACGTTGACATAAAAAGAGCTGAATTCGTTGCCATTGGATCCGAGTTAATTTTACCGTTACTTCGACTTTTACAAACTCAATATTCACAAGAAGCCTTAGAAGTTCTTGATGAAACAATATCAATACCCGGAGGCCCTAAAGATAAGCAAATACTTAGAATGAGTATTGCAACACGTAGGGGAAATAACGTAGAAGGAGTGGCAACCCTTTTTGGTGAACCTGATGATTCGGGGTGGGCGATACCCGATAGAACTGTAGCTATGGAAGCCACAAGATATAATATACACGCGGTATGTTATACATGTAAAGTAACGCCTCAAGATCAAGATTATCAATTTTTTGCCGAGGATATAGCACAAGGTTACATTGAAGAGGAGATTCCTACAAGGGAATATCGATATCGAGAGATTGTGTCCAGATTGCAAGATTTGAATGAATATTTCCTTCCTGGCGACGATGTGATTAGTAGCAGTGGAAGTGGAACCGGCAGTGCCAGTGGAAGAGCGATGACTTTAACTTCGGCGCACCAAATACCAAGTATAAATGAGCAAGATTTTGGAGATTTTGTTGAACCCAGTCCAAACGAATATGAATCTAGGGCAGATGCGATATTACAAAGAAGTTTATCAAAATCACCATCAAATAGTTCATTTAAGAATTATGTCGAACCATTTACATCAAATTCTAATTCGAATAATAGTATACCACCATATAATACGTTACAAAGGGAATATGAAGCATACATAAATGGTCAAACAAGTTCAGCCTCCTCTTCTGATGATGATGATTATATATCGTCATGTGATGATAGCGAATCTGTACTTTCCGAGGGGAACAACAGTTCTTTTCAATTGGAAAATTTACTTCAAAGGCCTCCTTCACATGGTCATACTTCATCATTGTAATGTAGATTTAATCAATTTATTTTATTTATATTTTTTTTTATTTATATACATATTTAACAATAAAGAGAAAGAGAAAGAGAATGTATATATGTAATCTTTTTTTTAAAAAAAAAAAAAAAATAGAAGAAAAAGGAGAAAATCACTTTTGTGAATAGAGGATATAGCATAGAATTTCAAAACATTGGAATATTTTTAAAAAAAAGAAAAAATTTAATCAAATTAACTGTATAATAAATCTTTATATAATATATGAATGCTAATTGCATATGCAATTTTGTTAATTTTGGCCGAAATTAATAACATCCAAATTTGTCAAAGATCGGATTAATGGTTAATCTTGATGATTTGCACATCACATTGCATCGCGATACAAATTTGAAAAATAAAATAATAAAATAATTATCGAATAATCATTATCAACATTTATTTACGACACTTAATTGACAGTTTTTGCCTAATATATAAAATTATCATAAGTGAAGTCCATTGTTCATTCTCATTGTATTTGTCATAATTATTGCTAACGCTAATTATTTACAATAAACATGTTGCATGACTTAATAATTTTAAAAAAGTAGATACATAATAGATTTATTATTTTTGTTTGTTTTTTTTTTTTTCTTTTTTTTTTTTTTTTTTGTATATCGTAATTTTATGTCAAAATCGATATCCGATACAAATATTTTTTTTTGTATTTAAAAAATGTCAAATTATAAAGTTATATTAAAATAAATAAATATTTTGATTGAAATAATGAAGAACAATCAAAAGGTGACAATCTCCTCGTGGATTAAGGAGCAAAAAAAACCCCCCTCCCCCATCGACAATCCAAATGCATAAAATTGATGCAAAGATGCATGATATTTCTTTAAAACGTGGTGTTTATTCCTATGCCATTCAGCCTACCTTCAATTTTATTCAATAGTAGGATCAATTTGGCGTTTTTTTTTCGTTTTTTTTTTTTCTCTTTGGTTTTCGCCGTGTGAAATGATGAAGAAATGTTTTTCATTTTAATCTGGTTACTAAAATTTAACAATCATTATCTTTTCGTGATTAATTTATAGTGATTGTAATGAATGTATGCCCACGAGACTTTAATGCGTATTCACAAAGGGAAATTTCATAGATATTATACTTATGAAAGCCTACTTTATAATATAACACAACTGATAAAAAAAAAAAACTTTAAAAAAAGCGGACGATGATTATTTGATTTGTCTATATTGGTAAGCAAGTTTCCAATTTTTAGATCACAACATTCCTGCACTTTTGCTTGGTGGTTATAATATTTTTTTCTCCAAAATAAATGCGTCAATCGACATTATGCAGGTATTAGTGGTACTTCTGCAAGGTAGCAGGGATCCCATCCACATTTATTAATCTCAATTAGTTGTTATATAATTTAGTTAACAGAAAATTAATCATCGATTGTCGCGCATTTATCAACATGCTTGATTTAGACGAATGTGAAGACCTAATGTAGGTGCATTTATTCATCAAATTCTGCGAAAACGATTCGTTAATTGTCAAAGCATGATAATCATTTTTAATTAGATACTGGGGGGAGGAGGGATTTTTTTTTTTTTACTTCTTTTTTTTACTTTTTCTCAAAATTATTTTTTAAATGTCGATCTTGGATGTTTAAAGGAAATACTCAATCGACCAAAATAAACCCTGAATTCAAAAGATAATTATATTTTATATTTTGTTTTGTAGCTAACAAGTTTAAATTCTTGATGTCTTGCGATTTTGGTTTTTTTTTTTGAATTGTATGACAAAAGCTCTGGCATAAAATTTATTCAGATGATCTTATTGTAATTACGAGTTGTTTGGATTGTTGTGTTGTTTAACCAATCATCAAAACAATTTTCACATGTCAAAATATAATATAAAGTTATATATATATATATATATATATTTTTTTTTTTTTTTTTTTTTTTTTTTTTTTTTTTTACTTTATCATTCTATCATTGTTGTGTTTCGCGGCGAATGTACTAGTCTTGTATATTTTTGTATTGTTGGCAAAAAAAAAAAAAAAATAATTTTTTTTTTCAAGCATAAATATCCAAGAAAATTGATTTAAAATTTTTTTCTTTTCCATGTTGAAAATTCAACCCCCTCCTTTCAATGCCTTTTGCAATCATTCATTACTGATTTTATAAGACTTTTTTTTTCGGGTATGTTACCTTTAAAATCTAAACATTGAAGGAAGGTTTTTGCTAATTGATTAACTTGTTTATTAACTTTTTCTCACTTTTTTTTGCAGTCATTTATTTAACGATATATATAATTTTTTTTTTTCTTTAACGAAAAAAAAGAAAAAAAAACCAACATCATCAAATCTCCTTCATCATTTCTCATAACATCCAAAATTTTCTTTAAAACTCATTTATAACAATCCTCAATTAATTTAACGACAACTTTTTTTTTTTCTTTCTCTAAATCCGAATAACTTTTTTTTTTTTTTAAAAAAAAAAAGTAAACCTACCAAATCAAAAGAATCACGATGGGAATTATTTCGTATGTTGGTAGCTTCTTTGCTACACCCCCTCCAAATCAAAAATTTGCGGATAGATACGTTCTCGTAACAGGATGTGATTCTGGTATAGGAAATTTGATTGCAAAGGCTTTACATAGGAGGGGATATTATGTATTTGCGGGTTGTTTAACCGAATCGGCATTTAAAGAATTTCTTGCACAACCTTCAGCACTTCCAGCATCAAAATTTCGACCATTTTTGCTTGATGTAACCAAAGAACAATCAATTCAACAATGTGCAAGAATGGTTTCACATGAAACCAAAGAAAAAGGATTATTTGCTTTAATTAATAATGCAGGATGTAATGAGGGTTTCGCATTTGAATTTACTTCAGCCGTACAAATTGAAAAAACAATGGAAGTAAATTTTATGGGACCGATTAAAATAATTAAAGCTCTTTTACCAAATTTAAGACAAAATATTAAATATAATATGAAAAAACCGTCAAAAGATCGAGATATTTATCCAAGAATTATAAACATGACTTCCATCTTGGGAAGAACCACCGTTCCATTTTATGGGGCTTATAGCGCTTCTAAACATGCTTTAGAAGCTATGTTGGATACCATACGCGTAGAATTATTACCATGGAAAATTCATATAACTATGATCGAACCCGGTCCAATTAAGTCTAGATTAACCCAACCCGATTTAATGGAAATTTCTAAAAAATTTTTTGCTTCTCCCGAAATTACCGAACAAACGTTAACCCTTTACGGGGAGGATTATATTCAAAAAGTGATTGAATTTTGGCAAAAAATTCATTCCGGTCAAGATAGTTCAAGAGAGATCGTTAGAACTGTTGTTGAAACCCTCGAAGTTGGTTTCCCAAACGATCGTTATGTTGTCGGAACGATCGCTAAAGTACAAGTTTTATTGCATGGCATTTTACCAAGATGGGTCATTGACTTAGCTTGGGGAAGCGTGATTAGATTGGTTGGTATCTGGCCAAAAGAAGTAAAAGAATTAGAAGATGGTGTGATAGATGATGACATTTCTGCGCCAATTGCGTCATCGAGCACATCAAATAATACGTCGTTACCAACAAAATGATCTTGGCCGGAAATTTTTCCATAAACAATTAAGTACCAAAACAACACGAATATCGTAATATGTATATATAAAAAATGTGCAGAATTTTGTGTATAAATTTTTTTAAAAAAAACTTAAGCTTTTATATCTAATCTTTTTTATTTTATTTTATCTTTATTTAACTCTACTAGTTTAGTACTCCATTTTTCTTTTTTTCTACTTTCATATTTACTAATATTATTTTCTCTCAGGAAGAGACATTTATTATTATTTGTTTACGATATGATATCTGTGTTGATATAAAAAAAAAAAAAAAAAAAAAAAAAAAAAAAAAAAAAACGCTTTATGATTTCTTTTGATGGTTTATATATATATCCTTGTATAATTTTATGCTTATAATATATTTTTTTTCGATTATATTTTTTTCTTGTAATATTTTTTTTTTTATTTAACGAACTTTTCGATCTTTTTTTTTTTCTTACTTCTCTTTCGTCGTTTATTTTTAAAATAATTCGTTTTTCCTTCTCGTTTACTTTTAAAAAAATAATCATTTATCGTGTAGGATTGTAATTCATTATTATATCGAATATTTAATTAATATTCACTCGAACATTTTTTATTTTTTTTTTTTTGTAAATTTTTTTATTCCTTTTTTCTTTTTTCTTTTTTTTTTTAAAAAAAAAAAATTTTCGTGAAGAAAAAAAAAAATTTTTTTATATATAAATAAACAAATTTTACTATTTTACTGATTTTTCAATGTTATATATTGATTATAAATTTTCTTTTCTTATAAGAAATGGCATTTTCCCCGAACGTAAAGAACGACCGGGATGTGACACTATGTGACAAATTTCTTAACCTTCTTACTGATAATCTTACCCTAATCCAACTATTTATAATACCAATAATTTATCACTTTACCCATTTCACCAATTTTTTTTCCAGTACCATAACTTTGAAGCTTCTTTTTTCGTTCAATATTCTCTGAAGGAACTTATTCTAAAATTCTTTACAAAAAACATTTGTAAAGTTCTTCACCTTCTTTTAGAATACCAGTTCATTCACTTTACTCTTTACAAAATATTATTATATTAGAGAATATACATAAATATTTTCCTATTATTTAACTACTTAATACTAAACCTAGCTAAAATTGTAATATTTTAGGTTTTTGACGGAGAAAATAAAAAAAAACAAAGAAATGATATGAGAGATGATCAGTAGAAAAGGGGAAATCCACTTTTTATGATGCATCTCACTTATAAACCACAAAAATTGTCACATTACTTCAATTATTTATAAACAGAAAAAAAGCAATAAAATATAAAAATCAAACCAATAGATTAATAAAACATGATAAGCTGATTATTTCTAATGGTTTTATTTTTTAAAAAAATAATCTACATTTTGTTTTATTTTGATTTGAAGTTCAAGAATATTTTGTAAGATATATATAAGAAAAAGAAAAATTTCAGACTGAGGATTGGTATGTAAATGTATGATTTTCATATGAAAATGATGGAATTTTTTCACTGGATCAGTTAATGATAATTATGAATCGCCCATTCAAATGAAAAATTTAGATCAAAAAGCAAGAACGAAATAATAATGAAAGGTTTATAAAAAAATCACGGCTTACTGATGATTCGAAGGATAATGATAATTAGAGAGATAATGATGATAGTGGATGGGATTATGTGATCGATTATTTGGATGACAAAGTTGCTTATGATCAAGTGAAAGAAAACCTTTCAAGTTGGTTTGGTCAGATAATGCATATCTAGAAACTAATAAGCGCGAGTATTATCTTACTGAAAAAACAAAGAAATCAACGTATTTTGATAAATATAGGCCAAGTAACTCATTTATAAAAGCCATAAAGGGGACTGTAAAGATAACAAATTACCTGAATAAATCAACTCTGGATGATTACACAAAGACATAGAAGATGAGAAATGGATCAACTTATTTTAAAAGAAAAATTGAAAATTTAAAAATTGAACTTCAAAAGCAGCATAAAGTTCTAATGATAACTGAATATAATAAGAAGTGTACTATCTTTGAATACTTAAAGAGGCTGGATGAAAATGAAAGTGGAAAGGCAAAGGCTAGCAAAGAAGTTGCAGAATTAGTTTATATTGAGCATACTTTTTTTAAAGCGAGATCTATTCAATACTGGACAAACTATTAGCTTTAGTATAATCATCTTTCAGTAAGCCATCAAGAAAAACATCAAAAAACAATTCAGCTAATAGATGATGAAGATGTAACAGAAGAGTGTTATTCATGGATTTAATCCTAGGGTGGAACAACAACTCCATTAAAGTTTAAAGAATTCATTGAGCAAAAATTGCTCATCAATACAGGGATAACCAAAAAAAAAACTATAAGTATAGCAACATTAGCACATTGATTAAATGTACTTGACTTTTCTTTTTAGCAATAAAAAATAAGGTAAAAATTTTCATTAATTATTTGAATTATGAATATGATATAAAAATTAACAAATAAAATTAAAAAGGAATATACTACGATGAGCATGAGTGTCGTAATATTGTTGAATATCAAAAATTATTTTTGAAAGAAATGTTTAATTATGAAAAATATATGGCAATATATGAAGGTGAGAATATAGAACATATTTCGCCAGTTTTAGAATCTAATGATAAAGAGGTAATTTTTGTAACGCATGATGAGTATATATTTTATTCTAATGATAGAAAACGAGGTATATGAGTAAAGTTAGAGGAACTGCCATTACATAAAAAATGTAATAGATATTCAATTATGATCAGTGAATTTTTATTAGAAGAATATAGCCAGCTTAAGCTAAATAATCAACAAATTCAAGAAAATGCTTCTATATCTGAAGAAGCAAGCATTTATCTTCAATCAGATAAAAACTAAGATAGGTATTAGACAAATAAACATTTAATAAACCAAGTTCAAACCAAAGCTATCCCAATTTTTGAGGCTCTCTTTTCTAATTATGTTAGGCTATTGTTTGCATTTGACAATAGTTTGAACCATGTAGCATTTAAACTTAATACTCTTATAGCTAGTAGAATGTATCTAAAATCTGAGGAAAATAACCTAAAATGAGAAATACGTTTTTTAAACCAAATAATAAACATCAATCAATGATAAATAGTAATGACAAACTTAAAAGAATAAAGCAAATATTAATTGAAAGTGGCTTATGAAGAGATGGTCTAAGTGCTGATTGTAAATTATATAAAGACAAAGTATATAATACAACTCAGATAGAATATTATACATGTTGAATTATCTCATTACAACCTGATTTTTTACCACAAAAAAGTGCATTAGAAGAGTAATTTTAGAAGTAGATCATAAGGTTATTTTTTATCTTAAATTTCACTGCAAGTTAAATTTTATTGAACAATATTAGGATGTGGCAAAAAATACACCTGAGAAAATTATGATTACTCATGGCTGGATTTGCAGTATGTTGTTTCTAAAGGTTTAGATTCTGTTAGTAATTATAATAAGAAAATTCGTTTGAAAAATATAGCATTATATGAACTTATATAGGAATAGAATTACAGGTATGTTGGCTGAATACGCAGCTAAGAAATATAGATCTCATTATCAAATTTCTGATCATGTAATAGCAAAATTAAAATGAATTATAAAAAATGAAATTATAACTTTTTGGCTAGCATTACAGAATTCAGCCAGAATTAAGATATCTAAATTATGTGAATGTTATATAAATTTATATCTGAAATTTTGGATTTTTGTAGTTTATAAGTGAGATGCATCATAGTCAAAAATTTTTTATTGGTTCACTCTGCTGATCATGAATCATGTGAACAAAACTAGCTTAATAACTAAAAGAGCATTTTTATCTTAGACCTAAATTCAGACAATTTAAAATAGACTCCTTTTTCTTTTTTAATAATTTCAAAATTAGTAAACCAATTATCATTTAAAGCTAGCAGTTTTTCTTTGCTAAATATTAAGTAGTTCATTTGAAATTATCCTTTTAAAATATTAAACAAAATTAACAAAAAAAAAAAATAAAATAAAAAATAAAAAATAACTTTAATGAGAAAAACAAGATTACACTAGTTTAACTTTTAAACTTTTTGGACAATACAGTCAAACCTGTCTATAATCACCCTGTTTATAATCACATCCTGTCTATAATCACTTAATTTTAATGTCCCAAAAATATAATATTTATTTACCCTTTTTATAATCACAACTATATGTTAATCACTATCACCGGGAAAAAAGATTTTTGCATATTGAATAATTAAATAAATAAACTATTTATAATCGCATTTCACGTGACATTATTATA